CTTCCTCAAACCATCTACTCCATGTCACCCTCACCACGGACGCCCAACTCGTCGCTTCCCATCTGGGTTCCACTTGAGTGCCTGGCACGTGATATCCCCAAACGACCTTCACAGTGTATGTCCAATCCATCTCCACTTCCTTCTGCATATTTGTTGAGCGATAGGTTCTTGGTTGGTTCGTCACCAGCCAGCCCAAGTTCCTTGTTGCTTATTCTTTCTGGCCATCTGATCTTCAGTAACGAGTGAGAGTAGGCAGTTGTTGACGAATATCGGTAGTTTGTTGGAAATCCCTTTCGTAACGTGCCAAGTCTCTGAACCATATAGAAACACTGACTTGACTGAAGTTGGTGTTGAAAATCCGGATCTTGTTTCACATATTGAGTGCAGAAGATCTCCACACTGGTTTCAGGCTAATGAACGCCTGTCTTGCTTTTCCGATTCTGACTTTGACATCCTCGTCTGTGCTGCCTGTAGTTGAGACCCTGCTGCCTATATAGGTGAAGGAGGCTACTTCCTGTAAGTTTCTCCCGTTGATGGTGATAGGAGTTTGTTGTTGTTGGTTGGGTATTTTCATCACCTGTCTTCTCTATGTTCACTTGAAGTCCCGTCTTCGCTGCCCTGCCTCTTCTGCCAACTTGTTAGTTTTCGCCTGTAGATCTTCCAGTTTGTGTGACATCAGACACAAGTCATCAGCGAAATCCAAGTCTTCTAGGTTCTTTTCCGCGGTCCAGCGTATCCGGCTCTTCTCACAGCTCCTCACTGTTTGTTGCATGATCCAGTCCATTACAATCAGGAATATCATGGGTGATAGTAGGCGGCAGCCTTGTTTTACTCTTGTCTTCACTTCAAAAGCATCACTGAGCTTCCCATTGTGAATTACTTGGCCGGCATGTGGCGTCTTCATATAGTTGTTGAATGAGGCTGATAAAGGTTTGCGGCAGTCCGTAGTGTTGAAGCAGTTTCCAAATTACTTCTCGGTCGACGCTGTCAAAGGCCTTTTCAAAGTCGATGGAATTGAGGTAGAGGGTTGACTGCCATTCTATACTTTGTTCTATGATGATGCGTAGCGTGGTGTTGCAATTTGGTCGGCACATGATTTGTACTTCCTGAATCCAGCCTGCCTGTTCCGGTCGTAGTTCTGAATCCAGCGCATCCTGTGGTCTCTCCAGGATGATGAGGCATAATATTTGGCTCGGGGTCAACAGGAGCATGATTCTGTGTCAGTTCTTGCAAAGACTCAGGTTACCGTTCATTGGGAGTTTGACAAGGAAGCTCTTCTTCCAATCAATCGCCAGTTACCTTTCCTTCCTTCCTGCCTTCCAAACCTTTTGCAGTAGTGGTGTGATCATGTCCGCTGTTGTCTCTGCGTCTGCCCTCAGTGCTTCTGGAGGAATTCCATCTGGTCCAGATGCTTTCCCGCATTTCAGCAGGTTCATGGCATTCACGACCTCTCCTTTTGTCGGAGGGTTTGTGTTCAATGGTAGTTCTGTGGCTCAGCTGCTAGTGATATTTCTGGACGAGTTGCAGATGGTGGTTGATTCAAGAGCTTCTTGAAGAGGTCAGCCCATCGTTTCCTTTGTTTCTCTTCTTTGGTAATTAAATTTCCGTCATCATCTTTTATTGGTTTCATCTGTGTTGATCTCTCCTCTCCCAGATAGTAACCTGGTTGTTTGATACAATGTTGTCAGGTCTCTCCTACCAGCAACCTGTTCTGCTTCACTTGCCGGTGTTTCGTAGAAGTGTCCTTTGTCTTAGCGCGCACTCTTCTTCAATTCTTTGTCCAGTGTTTTGTGCTTTGTACTCAGTTCTTCTTTTCATTGATCATCCTTGCACTGGTTTATCTTCTGCTTCACCATCTTCCACTCCCTCATCTATCAGCTTCCATGTCCCCATCGAGATCCATTCCTCATCTTCTTTCTTCTGCCTTCTTAATACGGTTATGCAGGTTTCTTTCCACATCTCTTTCAAAGAGTTCCAGTGTTCATCCACACAGGTTTCTTTGGGGATGTTGCTCGATATCTCCCATTTTGTCTTGATGGCTGCAGTGAACATGTCCTTTGTAGTTTCGTCCCTCAGTTTCTGTTTGGGGTGTTGAACTAGAACTGTGGTCAGATCGACTTCATCACAATCTCAAGAAAGTCGAGACGCAGTCTACTTGACACACACTTGACAGAAACTGAGGGACGAAACTACAAAGGACAAACAGGACAAAAAGCGCATATTTAATTCGACCGATAGCCACTATCCATCAATAATATCTGTTTTCTTAAAATTGTGAAGTGTAGCGACTTTGGCGGACACAGTGTTACATCCTATTTTTATAACAGGTTACCGTTTTTTAATTCATCCTCAGTTACCTTTTTTGACTACCTAAATAGTTTCTTCTCTAAAGGAAATTTTGAGTATCAGTATTAGTAACTTCTGAGAAAGATTTCAATGAAAAATAACCATTAGCTTAACAGTTTGAAAATTCATTTACTTTTGAGTACAGTTATTTAACAGCTGCAGTGAAAGTATTAAGGATAATAAAACATTTTTGTTATGTTTCTTAATGCTCTGTATATCAGTTGTTTCACTTTGTGATAATACTTTAATTCCACCATAAAAATCCGTCAACATCTTTAATGGTTGTTTGGCGATACTCAATGAGAAAGCCTAACATAACAGCCTTAAGATCATACTTTTTCAACAGCTGCATGACCTGATTTTCAGCGAAAACGATTCCATCACGAATAGCTGACAGTATTCATGTTCTGTAGTATGCTGTGTCAAACCCTGCATGTGAAAGTAGTCTTCCGTAACCGATTAACGTATAGAAGAACAAAGCCTTAGGTAATTCGAGAACAATTATTCTTACCAAGATAATAAGTTCAGATAAACAAACAGCTGTAATAATAATGCATACAGTGACACAGTCACGCAATACAATGCAGTAAACTGACGATTATAAATACTGACTTAGGCGGGAAAGGAGATGAATACCTGAAGCTTTGTTGTTCATATCAACGTCAAACACGCGAGATAAGGATGATACGTCTTACCTGTCCTAGATATCTAGAAAACCCTGCTGACTATGATACGAAGGAAAGCAGAGCATGAGACTGATAAAAATAACGTTTCGAATTTGTGAAACTATCCTTGTGTTTAAAACAGCCCAGTAATTAATACTGTTTGTAGTATCTGACAAGGACACTAAAAAGCACACACGATTTATCGACGTCGAGCATTAAAATATCCAATGTGTTTAAATATTCACAGTGTTCATGTGTGAATTTCTTTCGAATATCAAGTGCCAGACCTAGACGTTTGCATGATTATTTTCAACGACGACAGATTTATCGTCGTCAGTGTTACTCATCATGTCAATACTAGCTTAGTTTTTCACTTCACCACCTAAGTAAAACTGTGTGAGTTGACATCATTCTTCTGGAAAGTAGTTGTCTCTATGAGAAATGTACAAGGAAAGTACTAACTTTTATACTGGCCGTTCAGTAAACCCGATTCCTTTAGAATATGCAACAGTGTTCACAGATCTATTGGACATTGTATGGCGAAGATGTCTTTTTGTATTGTAACCGTTGTAAGGCCCCATTTTTGTATAAAACATTGTTATTGATCTGAACACTTTAACGTGTCATTTCCACGCCATTTTCACGGTATGAATAGTAGTCTATCCTCTGTCCCCACTGTAATGTAAATCGCTGATTGGTTAATCTTTACTCTTTCTATACCGATGTCTCAAATTCGGGACAAGGTCATTTTTCACGTGTTTTGAGATTGATTATGATTATATTCTCGGAGAAATAAACTCTCCCATCATCCAGCTTTGGTCTTCTCTCGATCCGTCCCGGAGTTGCAGTCAGTGGCTCTTGCGTACTAAGTTAGTTGTCAGCTAAACGTGCGTATTAATATTCGTTCGGAATATATAACTTGTCGTACGAAGACATAACAGTAACCCCATAAAGCAAAGTGATAACTAAGGTGAATATCTTGGCGTAGAACGGAAGGTCGTTTATCACAACCAAGTTGGTCAAAAATCACTGATATTGATAGTGGGTGATGACTGAAGGTGAAATGGAAATCTAGACCCCGGTGGGGTTCGAACCAGCCACCACCAGGTGCTCAGATAGTAGAGCACCGGGTCGGGAACCTGGTGGTTGCTGGTCCGAATCCCACCGTGGTCCAAATTTTCATTTCATCATGGCTATCTCACGTAGTCAAAATGATAATCACTGGTATGTTCAGCAGGTGTGCGTCATATACTTCCAGTCGGTGTTCATAGGTAACTAATTAATGAAAATAGTTCAAGGTTGTATTCCACCCTCCTTTACAGGTAGTTCCCAACGCGTCAAAAGGCGAATATCTGTTATTGTATCACAAATTTCTAAGAAAACTTTCGTTAAGCATCTTCAGATATCTCTTTAGTTGCTTAATCGCTGAAATACCTCAGTCTGATATTTAATCTTTAGTAAAAATGTGTACATGTCAAAAGGTATTCATTGAAATTTCCCTTAGTTAGTCTTTATCTTACTCACTGAAATAATGGGCTTGGTACTTTTATCACTGAGAATGGCCCATTTTCCAGCTCCTTCGGCTAGGATGACTCATTAGGTCACCAATTCAATTCCATTTACCTACTTCCTTTTGACCAACTTAAAATTAAGCCATAGATTTTTCGCCTACGAACAAATTTGTTTCTTATGTCCTCTAAATCAATCCTATTGGCTTATCTGTGTGTATCCAATTCATAGAATCAATTCATGAAATTCTTAATTAAAAATCCAATTGAAAAGACCTATAACAAGTGCATCAATAAGCAAACATATTTCACATTGTCCATCTATAAATCTACTTCTTCATCTACTACCAGCAATTTTTATTACATCTGTTTTACGGAGTAACAGTTCAAACTAACAGCAAAATTTAAGATCAACATTAGGAGATTAAGCGTAATGCAATAAATTGTGTGATAAGTTTTATTCGATAAAAATTCTCTCCTTTCAATACACCCAATCGTTATTAATATTATAATGAAATGACGTTTTATGTGGTAGATTTGGATTATACTTTGTTGGTCCAGGATTACGGAAAGCATCAATTCCACCAGCACAAGTTACTGATCCACCATTGACAACCATATCACCAATACCCAAAGCAACTGGAACATTTGGCATTATCCAACGTGGTACATTGGATAGAAAAACTGAACTGGACATGAAGTGTTTCGGTATTGAATTTGATGAAATATTATATGCTCCCGGTCCTGGATAATCTTGTTTACTTCCAGATACAATTTTTGTATTCACAATTGAAGAATTCAATCTGTTTGCATCCAAAGTTTTAAAAAGTACACAAATATAAAGAGTATACTATGTAGGATGGCTTTTGTTGTTGGTATACTGAGCAGTGAAGTTGGAAGAAAAACAACACTAAACAGTGATCAGAATCAAATCACAAAACGATTTATTATTTCATTGTTCAATAACCTCTATGCAAAAAACTATTTAACCGATCGACTATAACTGAAAAAAATTAATTAGCCTACAACATTGGAACATAGTTTTTAAAAAAATACGAATTGCCCTCTGTATACTAATTAATACAAAGTGTAGTTGTAGACTTCGCAGGCCAGTCAACATTACTTGAGCATGTAACGTGAAGGCAGTATGGATATCGAAGGATAGTCCAACTCATCTGAGACTGAGGTCGTCTCAGATTGTGTCGGTTTAGGCAAATGAAAAGGGCTCAAAACCACTAAATTTCTGGGTATTTATCAAGGTGGATCAGGGATACTAAAATAAAATAAGTTTTTCATTATTTGTTCATTTACATATTCTACCTTCTATCACCTATTTGTTTGATATCCTAGTCTATTTCTAAAGTAAGACTAATAGATAAATCTCTTAATAATCAGTTAAGAATGTAACAAAACTATCTGACCTAAATCCGTAATTCGATTTTACTCACGTTCCTAACGAATTAAGTCTAAATTTTTGTGGTCACCACCATTGTTATGACCGTTGCGAACATGTTTTTGTGCTGTCTGCATGACTGCCTAATACGTGGCATGTTACGAACCACATGTGTATGTGTGCGTGGATTACACTTCAAAGCCCATTTGAATACTTTTCTAAAATGCTCCACGGATTTTCACTAGGTAATTATATCAATTAGTTTAATTTTTGCATAACCTTTTTCTTGTTAGAATCAAACTTAACAACTTATATCCTAAAGATGGTGTCAGATCTATCAAGAATATTGTCTAACGAAATTCTACTAATATTTACATAACTGTTCAAACCCCAGGTTTTAACTGATTTCATTTGAGAGACAACACTTACACCAGCATGGTTGTAGAAAATCATTTCTAGAAAGCTATAATTCAGATATTTAGCTAAAAGGTGCAGCACTTTCTTATTCTTCATTTCTGTGTCAGTTTGACTACCTGGGATAGCCGTAGTTTGGCAAACTCTTATTAAAATCTGTGTCACGGTAGGAATCGAACCACCGACCTCTGAGTTACCGATTCTCATTTTCTGTATTTATTACTAGATTTTTGAAGGTGATCAGCGGAAAGCATCTGTTATGAGTATTCCGCTTATCGACAGTAGGCATTGTTATCAAACGCAAACCTATAGATGTGTTTGGCTGACAAACTCTAGTAAGCGGAAAGCCAAAATTTGTCAAAGAATTTGATACAGTTATTTGCGTTTGAATAATTTCCGCTCAACAAAATTTAGTTGAATATTATTGATTATTTAGATTTTTTGTTGATAAATGGATGCTAATTTGTTCGCCTATGAACTATTTGACCAACCAATAATTATTGCTGTACACCTTTTGCCATTTTAAAGCACAAAACGATTCAGTCAACTGATTTCACTCACCAACTATTGACTCTCTCTAGATAAGAAAAGAGAGTCAACCAGATAGAATATATTTGTATAAAATAATTGCCAGTAAAAAAAAACGCTTGCCAGTAATCATCAGTTTAGTCTGGATATAATGAATGGGTAATTTTGAAATCTCAGATATAGGGTCACTTTAAAGACTATCCTAGCAACTGATGAAGGAGCCAATCAGATTCCTTTATTTTATGAAAAAGTATTTTTCTAAGCGAAATACCGAAGCCTGTTTGGTTATTTCATCAGCTGCTAGGGTGGCCTTTAAAGTCACTCCAGTTATACAGGACTTTAGATAGAAGGAAATCCCCATCCTAACTTACAGACACTTCTGAAAGTATTTTTCTAAGCGAAATACCGAAGCCTGTTTGGTTATTTCATCAGCTGCTAGGGTGGCCTTTAAAGTCACTCCAGTTATACAGGACTTTAGATAGAAGGAAATCCCCATCCTAACTTACAGACACTTCTGAAACTTACATCTATTTAATGTTTCAAGTTTACTATAGGTATTATGTTTTTGTACGAACAAACTCTTGAGGTGGACCTACTATTTACTTCAAGTGTTGACATTAACTAATAAACTTTAAAACCAGTGACTACTTAAGCTGAATCTTATTTCTGCAGCTTGGTTTACTTCAACAAGAGATGAGTTTATCATGAAAGTTCTTTTTTCTCATGGGCCCGTGTGAAATGAAATGTGCAGTGAAATTTTTCAGATTTTGAGACACACTTTATAGCTGACAATAAATAGATAAGCAGAGAATTCATACCAGCAGACACATGCTAGCCATGCCAAATGATAGAAAAATATGGAAGAATAAAACAATGAAGAATTATGTTTGACTTAAAGGCATAAATCCAGTTATTATTCAATAAATGTGAAACCTGATTTTATACATGTTTGATACTTGTGAACTCCCGTTGCCGTACAGAGTCAAGCTGCTCAACCTCTGTTGGCAGATGAGCTCCTATGTGGATGCCTCAATACTGTCTGATTACTGATTATGCTAATGTCTGCTTGATGGCTAGCAGTGGAAGCTAGGAAGTGCGTTTTGCTGTAATTGCTGCTCGTCAGCAGGATAAACCTGCACTCCGCTTATCGGGTAGTTTCACGGCGTCTTTTGACCCAGTTTAGCAGCGGATGATTACAAGTGTCAACCAACAACTGATACCCGCTGCCCAAGATGTGGCTATCGTGACCCAGTGACCTAGTGGATAACGCTTTGGCGTTTGAAGTGATGGGTACTGCGTTTGAGCTTCAGTGGGAACAATATCACTCACTGGAGTCCAGGTATATTCAGCTGATGGGTTCCATACAGGACGGAACACGCGCCTTAAACTCCACTGCTGGCCAACATCAAGATAGTTTTACACTCCACTACTGCTATATCGCAATATTGTTTAACTTACTTTATTGGCAATGGTTTTATAATTCTCGATGTTGAATAATTGTTATTGTTGTTCTTATTATAACGACTGTCCAAATTATACGTACCTGGTCCAGGATACTAGATTTTTGAAAGTAGAAGTTAAAATGAGTTTAGATTCATCTGATTGCTTCTGTATATCAATATTCTTACTTCGGTTTTAATATTAAGGGCAGAACGACCACTTTTAGATGCAAAAGCTGACTGAGGTAGATTAGATTCCTTTCGTTTCAAGTTGATTTCATAATAACCTGAATCATAATACGCGACAAATACAGTTAATAGTTGAAGTCATTAAATCTCACAAAGAAAGTTTAAATTCAATATATATGTTTGAAGAGGAAACAAATATTTTCAGTGTTTTATAATAGTTCCCGGAAGACTGTTTTATCACTGATCACCAAAACCTATCTGAATGCTCTGACAAGTTTGTAACACCTTCGAGTGTACAAGCATTATTATGCTGAAATTATTTCAGTAATCCACAATTCAAATGTATCTCCAAGAAAATGGCAGTAAAAAGCTTTAAATTTCAGAGATGAATGACTGGAAGTCCTTTTATACTCCAGTGTTGCATCACGAAGGTTGTCTATTCAACTGAAATGGAGTTTCGACAGTATGGAGCTGTTTTGACCAAGTGTGTTAATGGATGACTGATTTCTTTTGAATCAGAAAACATACCTCAAAGGCAAATGAAAATGATATCGCCAATGTGACTAGGGTAAATCCATGTTCTGACTACTTTAAATTTGGTATAAGTACACGACATTTTGCCTAGTTTTTATTATCCTCAATAAATGTGTCAACGCCAATTCTTACGGTTAGTGATAATTTTAACTAATGAACAACTTGTAGATTTAGTTCAACTTATTTTCTCACAATGATTTTTCCTACCCATATTCATCCTCGTAGTCACACAAAATATTATTGTACTGAATGGCACGTAGAGTTACTTTAATTCTGTGTGATTAGTACGCAATAACTGCCAAAAATGTTGAATACATCTGTAATAAACAGAGTTCTTTTTAAGGCATGAATTCAGTTTGCGGGGATTTATGGATTTCGAGATTTTCAATCGTTCTTCAACTTCATTCAGTCCGTGATGGATACCGAAATGAATACATGAATCTTCTCGGAATAATCTTATTCATTTCAGTGAAAATCAACGTTTCTTCAAAGTTTCACGACCTCTTTTTAAATTTCAATGCACAAAGTGTTGTAAGTACTAAATGAAATCAACGAGTCTTAAAATAGTGCGCCATGCTGTAACAGGTACGAAAATAAGTGATAATAGATGGAGTAAAGAATTACATCACAAACGATCTTCTTATAAGTAGTATTTTTTCCGATATTTTTGTTGCATACAATAGCATAGTTTAGAATTGCCTGGATAACTGAGGTTACGGAAGAGTAATAATGATATTCTAACCAGTCTCTTAACAGTAACAACTTACGTCGCTGTATCTGGACATCATTGTTGACAGAATTCAATGAAGTACTTCTTGAGTACCGCCATAAAGCTTAGTAAACTAACATTATTATTCAGTGTATTGGGTACTGAATGGCTGTAGTCGTCAAGAATTTCTCAGGATCGTGAAATATTTTTCCTAGTTGAAGAACTGGTGACAGAAAGATTTTTCCTTGAGTTGGTTTCCTCGACAAGTGAATATAGTCGATATACACAAACTTTCTCAGCGTACTTTTCCTATTATTAAGTTTATATTGCTGCACTGATTTGGGCTATTTGTGAGTCATCTGCTAATTGGTTTTCTTCCCATTGGAAAAGTATATAGCATCGAAAACTTTCAACAGTATGCACCAAAGGACAACTTATTTACGAGCTGTTTTATAGGATTATATTGCGTTAATTTTCCCAAGCTTCAATACAGCAGTTTTTCATGATTCATCGTTTAAAAGAAATCGTCAAATCACAGCTATCTGTTTCGCAGCTTAAACACCTTTATATACTTGCAATTTACAATGTTTTGTGGACATGTCATTCTACTGTACAAAGTATTACCTGTTAGTCTATGAGAAAGGAAACAAAGAATATCAGTGAGTGTTGTGAATAATCTCATCTTGTGCTTAGCTCAGTCGGTGACTGACAGGTGTGGGAAAAGAATGATCAAGTGCAACTTTATTCAGACGGTAAGGCGTAAAGAAAGTTATCACCACCTGATAGTGGTAAGGCTACGTCTTTCGCAGTTTTCATTTGACGAATTTGATATCAATTGTGACCGTTTCTTCTCCATCAAGACAGAACACACCTTCGATAATAGGTATACTGTGTCAGATACAATGATTGGCAAAAAGCACCTAAAGATACGTACTGATATGAAGTGTGGCAACGCGGACTGCTACGCAGTGATGCCTGGTCCTGTGATGATGATGATCTAAAGATATGTGGACTTTAGAGAAGCGGAACAGCTGAGTGGTGTGGGTTCAGATTTTGGAGCAGGCATCAGTTAACACGAAGTCACATATGCACACTCCTGTTAAGCACCGATAAGCACAGGACTTTTTCCATGAAGTTGACCTTCTGCTAATGACGAGAACTAAAAGACTTTGATTCACTTGATGGATTTTTTTAGGATTGAACAGTATTAAGATTAAGGCCAAATTAGGACCTGCTCAGCAGGTAGAGCATGAGGTCGGCAACATGGAACCACTGGTTCGAGTCCTACCATAACCTAGGTTTTAATTGAAGCTTCAGTCATAACCAAGTACTAACATTAAGATTGTTTTTACCATGGACTAACATAATTGGGAGGAAATTTGAAAAAAACTAGGAGCACTGAACGGCCGTTCCACCCTAGTTTTAAATATATGGGCAATGACAATGGATAACCTTAAACTCAATCTTTCACATGCTCATAGAGGTACACTGTTAGAGATTTCTGTACTAGGGTGAAATAAATGTCAGATGTTCTCAGATTTTCAATTTTCCCCCGGGCTGATAAAACTGCTTTTCAAAGACTTTATTTGTTTTTTCTCTCAATTCTTCAGGCATGGGTTACAAAGCATGATACTTACAACAAAACGAGTTCGACTGATAATAATGAGAATGTCTATAAACTGCTCAATACTACAATAAATCTGTTCACTTCCAGGTTTTATAAAGTTAATACCAGATTTTGTAAGTAAAGCTTGCTAGATATCACAACAGATGAACTATGATATGGTGGTGTTTCGCAGCTCAATTCGTTGATAATCTGATAATTATATTTATTCTAAACCTAGGACCCTTTACCAAGCACAGCTTGCATGGTCACTCTAAACTTCGTCTTGAACATTGGTTCGGCTTGAAGTAATCATGATACCGTCTGCTCTGGATTGAGTTATAAGTAGGTGTGTCTTACTGTCAATTTACAGAAGAACTTTAAGGACAGGGAAGTATGTAAATTATAATTTCTTCTATTTTAGTCTCTTTATCAGATGTGTCACAAAGGGAAACAGCATTATTTACTGGATAGTGTTTTGGACACGTTTTGTTTATATTCACATCAGGTTAGCTCATATACTTTCAGGGTCAATTAAGCCGATGGGAAACATAAGAATAGGGGCAACTTTAAAGGCCAACCCTAGCAACAATCGAAGTAACCAATTAGGTTTCTTCATTTCGGATAGAAAGGCAGACTTTCATAAAATAGAGTCGTCTGACTGGTTATTTCATTTGTTACTAGGGTGACCTTTAAAGCTATTCCGATATATGCAAGTGACAAAAGTTCATCTTCATGTATTGTTAAATAATACTAGAAACTAGTCTCAGGGTAGACTCGAAAAGTTTTTAAAGTACTACATGATGGAGAATATTTGTAGCTCAGGTGGATGGTCTTGGTTGTATTGTGTTCTCTGAGCTGGGTTGTTTAATCATGAAGCTTTCATCGTCCTTCTAGACGACATCATCAGCATGAACTTCAGTATGAAGTGAGCTGTCAATATCCCTCCGTCAGTGATTTAGTAGCTTGCTCTGACGATATGGCCTGTGATTGGTTGTTTCCTTCGATTTTTGTATCATTGATTGTATAGACTTTCCTGTTGGCTGTTCCTCTGACCTTTCTGTCGTTTATCATTTTTCTTATTGGTTGGTAGATCGGGTCTATGTCTATACATCTAGTGATTGCTGACTAACCTGAATACCAAGCTTCTAGGAATTCTCTGACATTCTTTGTGTTTCCTCTGTCCAAAATTTCTACATTGTCGAAATTGAATTCATGTCAATAATTATCCACGTGCATTGAAATGAGTGACGAAATGTCGTGGCGTTTAATAGCCAATTGGTGCTCATGTAGACGAAGGCGAAGAGGGCGGCCGCTTTGTCCAATGTAATGCTGACTACAGTTACTGCAGTTGATTTTGTAAATGATATTCGGTTTGTCTTCTTTGCTTGTTGCATCCTTTGGTCTGCATAGTGGTGTTTGGAGGGGATTTGTTGGCTTATGAGCCACACCGATTCCAAGTGGTCTCAGCAATCTTGTTGTGATTTCTGATACATTCTTTATGTATGGTAGGACGATGCGTTGTTGATTTCTGTCGATGACTTTGTAGTTTGTGATGCACGGGATAGGCATCTTCTGATAAAGTTTCGTGGGTAGCCGTTCTTCTTTAAAGTGGACATCAAGTGGTTTTCTTCGTTTCTCCTTGAAGTTGTTGTGCTTCAGTGTGTTCTCGCTCTTTTGAATAGAGTCTGCACGCAACTGATTTTGTGTGTTGTTGGGTTGTTGCTATTGTAGTTGAGAATTTGGTCAGTGTGTGTTGGCTTCCTGTACACTTGGGTTTCCAGCTTTCCGACATTTGTCCTACTGACTAAAACATCCAGGAATAGTAGTTGATTGTTTGATTCTTTCTCCATTGTGAATTTGATGTCATTGAAAACGTTGTTTTCTATATCATCCTTTTTAATGACAAAAGTGTCGTCTACATAACGAATCCAAATTTTGGTTTGATTACAGGTAGAATAATGGCTTCCAGTCTCTGCATCACTGCTTCTGCTATTAATCTGGATATCGGTGATCCCACTGAGATTTTGAGTAGCTTTTTCCTGAGGACTTTTCTTCGTTGTTCTTTGTTTCGTCTACTTGATTTTTCAATTGCAGTTGTGGTGAGGGCTGTGTATAAATTCGCTGAAGTTTTTGTCATCCATAAATTCAAACCCTCTTAACGTATACTTTGAGCCTACTGTGGTAGTATTGATTTTGGTTGCCATAACTAACAACATTGGTGTGTTTGTTCTCCGCTCGTCCTATTCTTG